AGAAGAATTGGTCAAAAAACTAAAAATGTACCCTCATGTATCTATTAATGAGATTACAATTCCCATCTCTGCAACTAGCTATTATGCTCTGCAACTTAGTTACTGGAAATAAATGAATACTGGTCTATAATTTGCCTTTATTATTAAATAACTGTTTGTTCTGATTTCCTTCTCTTTGCCTATATTGATTTTTACAACTTTCCATTATTAGGGTGATTAAAAACCTTTCATCACATAATTGTGGAGATTTCTACCTTAATTTTTTTTGTTTTGTTTTCAGTTGAAAGTGTGTACATGGGAGGACTTCTTGTATATAATGTTCATTTTGTGTCTCATTTATTTACTTTCCCCAAAAAGCCTCAATCAATCTGGGCCTTAGCCTGGCATCAGGCATGACACAATGTTCCATTCACTTATGTAGATATTTGTATCAAATGATATAATGTAGCTTTATAAATCGAACCTTGCGCAGATACAAAATTTGTATCCACAGCCACATCTGCATCCACAAAAGTGAGTCATGGATATGAAGCCAATATCCACTGATTTACAGGGCTCATCAAGTAAGCCTAACAATGATCTATTGTTGGTCTCCTTCTGTTATCATCATTGGCTGTATCTAGACTGGCAAGTTTTTCCACAAAAGCAAAACTTGCCAGCTGTCTACACTGGCTGCTTGAATTTCCGCAAGAACACTGACTTCCTACTGTCTGAAGTCAGTGCTTCTTGCAGAAATACTATGCTGCTCCCGTTCAGGCAAAAGTCCCTTTTGCGCAAAGCTTTTGCGCAAAAGGGCCAGTGTAGACAGCTCAGATTTGTTTTGTGCAAAAGCGCGTCTAGATTGGCACAGACGCTTTTCCGCAAAAAGTGCTTTTGTGGAAAAGCATCTGTGCCAATCTAGACGCTCTTTTCTGCAAATGCTTTTAACTAAAAACTTTTCCGTTAAAAGCATTTGCGGAAAATCATGCCAGTCTAGACGTAGCCATTGTGTATGCAAGTGAGGCAATCACTGTCTCCTAAAATTATTGACTGAGAAGGAAAAACTAAGGCCATGCTTAATTTGGGGCTGTAGTACAGACTGTAAGGTCAAAATTTTGAAAACTTATTGATGGATCATGTGCTTTTTTTTCTTCTCATTAATTTGGTAAAAGGTGATGACATCAGTTTGATGGTTGCTTCTGAATGTTGGTTTATACTTAGTAAGTGGATGGATTGAGGCATTGGGCTCAATTACAGTATTGCCAGCCCCCATCATTCAAAAGTCATGCATCAGGGCATCCCCAAATGATGAGATTGGCTTAAAAATCATTAGCTGTTAAAGAATAATAAATACAGGGATCTTTCTGCTTTCTTGTTTTTCAGCTGTTAGGATTCACATTTTCTACATACTTTTCCTAATCATGAGAGCTAAAACTTATTTGGTTTTGGTTTTGTTAACAGAAGGCTGAGGCTCTGAAACAGTAACATGATTCATGGTGCCAAGCTTTAAGAAAAACATCAAATGTCACAAGAACTCCCATTAAAATTGTCAGATTTGTAAATGCTGAGATCCTTGGCTCCTCTTAAGATCCTTTGCACAGCTCCTGAGGGCACAAAGAGGCCCTAAAGCTGTCTTAATGCAGCAACAGTATTCAAGAGGGGGAATTTCAGTGCAAGGAGGGGTTAGGAGGATTGGAGTGCAATATGTTCCACAGATCCTGGCTGATGGAGCAGCTTCTTGCAAGCTGTCATGAGCCAGCACAAGTTATAGCATCCAGCTTAGAGCTCTGTGAAACCAAGAGACATTGAACTAATAAGAATCTAAGTAGATTCAAAATTCCATTAGCTTTTCTTGAATCTGGACATGGAACATCAAGGAAGATTGCTGGGTTTTTAGATTAATTTCTCTCCTTCCTTTCCTCAGCAGCCTTGATTCACTCTAAAAGGCACAGGTTATATCCTGCACATTTAGGTGTGCTGGGTTCTGAGACTGTTGGTGATCTGGACCACCACATCCATGCAAAAACTTGGAGGCTTGAGCAGTAACTAGGGAAACTCCCTGTTCACCGTCTGTAAAGGCGTCTCAACAGGGAAAGGGCCTTTTACAGGTTTCTGGTTTGGTGGTGAATATTTTTCACAGCTTCAATTGTACAAAAAGGGTGAATTGAATTATGAAATGACTTCACTGATCAAAGATCACTGAGATAACCAAACAAGACAGAGCCCCTGCTGAGAGGAAATGTAGCATTGTCCTCGTGGAACAATGTATTAGGTGGATAAATTTATTTGCATGTAAAAATAAAGCCATTAAAACCAAAGTATTCTGAGGCAATATTTTTCTTTAAAGCTAGGTGTCAGAGACCCAGGCTCACTTTTGAAGAGACTAGATCCTTTGTCAGTCTGTCTTTTTGTCTTTGTGTCTTTTTCTCTCCATTTCTGTTTTTTTTTCCTTTTTAAAAAGAAAGCTGGTATTTCTGAAAGGTAAAAACTTTATAAACTTTATAACCCTGAGTTAGCGAGGGCTTGGAGCACAGAAGTGAGTGGTGCCAGTACAATGGTTAACAGATGAACTTTTGGGGCAAATGTATTTTGTGCATCTGTTCCCAAACATCTTGTTTCAAGCATATTTTTACCTTAAAGTTATTGAGACACATGGTAAGTACTTTGGCTTTTTTCCTGTGTAACATAGATGTAAGTGTATCTTTGCCATATGGGCAGTATTGGTTCTTAGATATATGAATGCATATATTTTAAATATATGCATCTTTGGATTTTGTGAGGATAGCTCTTAACTTATTAATATTGTATAGTAAAATAAATTACTTTGCTCTGTATTATTAAATGCTCTTTGAATCCTCATCCTCTTCAGTGACTGGGACTGTGGAAGTCTGTCTAGCTAGACTGAGCCTTTTGACAAAATTATTTGCACACAGAATCATTTTGATATGTCCAACTAAATGTTTACATTGCGTTTTCTTGGTATTTACTATTGTTCTTTTAAAAAAACCTCTAGTCACATAATACAAAACAGAGTTCCTATTAAATAGTGCTTTTATTTAGGACTTTAGGAAGCTATCAGTAGTTTAAGGTAATATTTGTAATACCAAAGCATTTCTAGATAGTATATTTTTGTCTTTTTTATGGCTATTCTATTGATCTAGGAGACTATGGAAAACATTAAGGAATAGCAGAAATTCCATGAAAGGTGGGAAGGAAAACACTCAGTGGAAAGAAATTAGAGAGAATAAAGCAACTCTACAACAATAAAAAATGAAATTAATTTAGTATTATAATGGACTCTGCTGTACTTGACATTTTTCCAGAGATTTTCTTTTATCATACAGGTAAAATTGACTCTGGAAATTATGGCATACTGTATAAGAGAAGTGTATTTCATGGTTATTTAATTTAGCAATAAAGATAGTTATAGGTTTATGCCTAACACCTTTTTCTTGTTTGATTATTGACAGACCTAGTGCATTGATCTTAAACATATTTGCACTAACTATGTGCTGTAGATTGCTGTTAAGTCAATACAGTGTCTGGAAAGCAATTAAATTCTAGGAGCTGAATTCTCCTGCTGGGAGATGCAAGTAATTCCTGTTGAAAAGAGAGGAAGCTATTTGTAGCCTGTGGCCGAAGTATCAGACTCTTAACATTTCTCCATTTCAACAGTCTTTGCATCATTCGGATGTAATATGCATTTTCTTCCAACTTTACCTTTAGCATCTTTACATTAACCCATTCATTTCTAGTTCTGTGTTATACCAGTGTTGTTCTATTAACTTTCCATAGAAAACAGAACTGGTTCATAAACACTGCCAAACTTCCTGAGTCATGGAAGTCCCCACCTCACCAGGAACGAGTTGAAATGCCAGTATGGTATTTACTGCTTGTGCTCCAGTAACGTATATTGTGGAGTAGGAGCTGTTTTATATGCAGAGCTCTGTGCAAATGGGATACGCTCCCTTTGGCTGAGTACCATTACATCATGTCCCAAAGTTTAACAGGAAAATTCCACTCCATGTATCTCTCAAGAAACATATATCAGTCCTGGACACATTTTTCATTGCTTCCTTTGACATGGCACAACAGTTTGGTTGCCAGTGAGAAGGTGGAAGAAGATTCCATACAGACTCTGGCCCTCATAGTTGGAATCCAATTGAATAGATGTCCAAGGGGTGCCACATTGGCTTGAGTTATCTTCATAAAAATAATGGAATGCTAGGGCACATTCAGCACTACAGCAGGAAGATTGGGCAGCAGTCAGGAAGATAAGAGGCTGTTGGTTATTCATTTTTGAGAGGTGGTAGCTGTTGCCCTGTGTTTCTGATCATCACCACCCTACATCTTAAGCTGGGGGGGTTGTTTGTCGAGCTGACCAGAAGAAGAGAGCAAGTCCTGATGGCTTATGGGGAAGATGAAAAACTGCTGGAGAAGGAGTCAGCGTGGTGGCAGACTCATCACCCAGGAAAGAGGTGTTTTAAAAGGACAGCCATACCAGGAGCCTCCCTTACTGACTCTCCCTCCCTCATTATTTTGGTGGTAAATATACCTGGTTATTGGCTATATCTGCTGTGGTCATTATGCTAGCCACTCTGTTGAG